AGAGTTTCCAGGAGGATCTGCTCCATGATCTTGCAAGGCACAGAGGCCAGGCACTGACTGGCCTGTAGTTCCCTGGGTCTTCCTTCTTTCCCTTTTTGAAAATAAGGGTTATTTTTCCCCTTTTCCAGTCAGCAGGAGCCTCACCAGACCGCCACGACTTCTCAAATATGGTGACCACTGGCTTAGTGACTTCATCTGCTACTTCCCTCAGGATCTGCGGATGTATCTCATCAGGTCTGATGGACTTGTGCACCTTCAGGTTCCTCAGGTGGTCTCGCACTTGATCTTCGCCTACAGTGGGCGGTTCTTTATTTTCACAGTCCTTGCTTTTGCCTTCTTCATCATGGGTAGTGTGGCTGCAGTCTTTGTCAGTAAAGACTGAGGCAAAAAAGTCATTGAGTACCTCAGCTTTGTCTCTGTCCCAGGTGACCAGCTCTTCTGTTTCCTTCCAGAGAGGGCCCACATCTTCCCTAGTCTTTCTTTTCTCACTGACATACTTAAAGAAGGATTTTTTGTTTGTCTTAATGTCCCTAGCCAGATTTAGTTCTATCTGGGCTTTCCCTGGCTGCTTGAAGAATTTCTCTGTATTCCTCCCAGGCTAACTGCCCTTGTTTCCACTTCCTATAGGCCTCCTTTTTACTTTTGAGCATATCCAGGAGCTCCTTGTTCATCCATGTAGGCCTCCTGACTTTTCTGCCTGCCTCCTTCTTTGTAGGGACTCATCGCTCCTGAACTTGGAGGAGGTGATCCTTGAATATTAACTGACCTTCTTGGGCCTTTCTTCCCTCCCGCACTTCATCCCATGGTGCCATACCAAGCAGATTCTTCAAGAGGCCAGCGTCAGTTCTCCCAAAGTCCAGGGTAGTCAGCTTGCTGGGCACCTTCCTCACTGTCTCGAGGATCTCAAACTCCACTATTTCATGGTCACTGCAGCCAAGGCTGCCCCTGAGCTTGGCACTGCTTACCAGCCCCTCCTTGTTGGTAAGGACAAGGTCCAGCATAGCTCCTCTCCTCATTGGCTCTTCAACCACTTGGAGAAGGAAGTTGTTCTCAATGCAATCCAAAAACCTCAAGGATTGCCTATGGCCTGCTGTGTTACCCTTCCAACAGATGTCAGGGTGGTTGAAGTCGCCCATGAGGACCAGGGCATGCGAACACAATGCCACCCCTATCTGTCTATAGACGCCCTCATCCGCTTGGTCTTCCTGGTTAGGTGGTCTATAGCAGACCCCCACTGTAATGTCCCCCACTCCTGATTTCCCTTTAATCCTGACCCATAGGCTGTCAGTCAGCTCTCTATCCAACCCTAGGTCGATCTCCGTGCACTCCAGCTGGTCGTTGACATATAGGGCAACACTGCCTCCTCATTTCCCCTGCCTGTCTCTCCTGAAGAGCCTGTAACCTCCCATGCCAACTCCAGTCATAGGAGTCATCCCACCACATTTCTGTGATGCCAATGAGATCATAGCCTTGGAGGCGTGCGCACATCTCTAGCTCCTCCTGTTTGTTCCCCATGCTCCGTGCATTTGCATAGAGGCATTTCAGCCATGTCCTCGTTGAGGCTGACTTGGCTGGAGCAGTTGTAATTACGTTGCACTGCTCTCCAGCTGGCATTCCTTTGCCGTGTATTAACAGTGCCTCCCCATTGGCTCCTGTTTGTCCAGTAGCTTCTGACTCATCTATGCAAGACTTTGAGCATGCAGCAGTGTAACCAGCACATTTTGGAGCTAATGGCTGCAGGCCCTCACCAGCACCCCGTTCCTCTTTCCTTGGCACAACATCCCTTGGCTGGTCATGGGAAAACCTGGTAATACCCCCTTCCCCTGTTGAATCTAGTTTAAAGCCCTGTTAATGAGCCTTGCTAATTTTTGGGCAAAAACCCTTCTCCATCTTTGAGTGAGCCAACCCCCATCTGCTGCCAGCAGGCCTGGTGCTGCATAGGCCATTCCATTGTTGAAAAACCCAAAATTGTGGCGGTGACACCAGCCGCGGAGCCACGTATTAACAGACTGAACTCGTCTGTTCCTTTCAATGTCATTGCCCACAATGGGAAGTAGGGATGAAAAAATAACCTGTGCTCCAGATCCCCGTAGTGACTCACCCAAGGCCCTGATATCTCTTTTAATCATCCTTGCACTCTGATCTGCACATTCATTGCCCCCCCCACGGAAATGGGAGAGATGTGTTTTGTGGAGCTATGAAAGCACTGCCAAGTGACAGGGAAGATACGCAACAGCATTGTCTCCTGGCATCTTTTTTATTAAAGCAATTGCTGGATGTTTGCAGATTTTCAGTCCAGCTCTAGGGTGAGGGGAGAAATGTTTTTTGTGGGGCTATGAAAGCGCAGCCATGGGACCGTGAGGACAAGCAACAGCATTCTTTCTTGGTAATATTCCTATGTGAGAAATTGCTGGATGTTTGCATATTTTAAGCTGGGCTCTATAGAGAGGGAAGAAATGTTTGGTGGGGCTATGAAAGTGCTGCCAAGGGACAGTGAGTGGAAAGAAGCAGGTTCTCTCGGGGAATCTTTCCTGTGGGAGCACTCACTGAACATTTGCACTAATTGAACCAGCTCCAGAGAGAGGAGAAAGATGTGTTTTATGGGGCTATGAAAATGCTGCCAAGTGAGGACAAGAAACAGCATTCTTTCCTTGTAATATTCATGTGGGAGCAATTGCTGGATGTTTGCATGTTTTCAGTCCAGCTCTAGAGAGAGGGAAGAAATGTATTTTGTGGGGCTATGAAAGCACTGCCAAGTGACAGTGAGGAAAAAGAAGCAGGTTGTCTCCTGGAATCTTTCCTCAGGGAGCACTTGCTGAACATTTGCCCTATTTGAACTGGCTCTAGAGATAGGTGAGAAATGTGACTTGTGGGGTTACAAAAGCTCTGGCAAGGGACAGCGAGGACAACCAGGAGCGTTCTTTCCTGGGATG